TCTCATGCCATGTCATGGTTGGACAGAATACTGGTAGCAAAAGTAACCTGTTACATGTAAACAGGAACCCCAGTTTAAAAAACAATTTCAAAATATGTTATGCTTGAAGTCTTTCCCCTCATATATCATATATACTTCTCGTACCTTCAAAATAAGTACTCACTATTCACAGATGAGGTGTTCTAATAAAGTAGCAATTGTTTTTTGTTTTTACCAATGAAGGCCAAAGGAACCCTAGGAGGTTGCTGGTGACATCTAGTGGTATAATTTTAAAAATACCAACTGCATTAAAAATGTGGCTACCTACAGAGAGAGAGGAAGAAACATCCATATCGTACATGCATTTGCCAAGTCTAACGGACAACCCATGTTACAGATTATTTGCACCTGTCCACACCACTCTGCCTCCAATGACTTGCTTCCCCTTCCAAAGTACTCCCAGGACCGCCACGCTGAGGAATTGGATCCGGACACAAGGGCTAAAGCCTTAGAAGAACCAATTCCCTCAAAGTCCTTAGTCCTCTACTGGGAATTGCCAGTCACCTGAGAGCTCCAGTTGCCAAAGGCCCTGCCCCAGCCGTAACAGTGCCAGTTACATCGCAACTTCCCAAACCACCACAGACCCCTCCTAACCTCCAAGCCTAAAGTATAGGTATGTTCAGGGTCTTAGCCTAAAGAGACTCAACTATAGAGTTGGGAACATGCAATTTCAGACTTATGAATATCCTCAAATAGGTGAACGTAGCTATGAATCATCAAATTGGTGAATGAATGAATAAATGGACAAGGTAGAAATTTACAATAGACAATATTTTTCCTATTGATTCTGATGGAAGATATGCAAGAGAGGGTTTGCTCTTAGGCAAAAGGGCCTTGGCTGAGTAGCTCAGGTCAGATATTTCTCCAATGATATGTTCACCCAGAGGGTGAGGCAGTTAGGCCATCTCCCTTGGTGAAGGGAGTGTGTTTCAACAGTTAAAAATTATCTGCTTTATAAATTAGTATATTTGAATTTTGACTATTCTCACCGAAAAATGTGATAAAGGGAGTGTCGATTCTCAAGGTGGTCATAAAGAATACAAACCATAGCTGAATTATAACTCTCAAAGTAACAAGGAATCTTTCAGCCTTTTAAATATTCCTTCAGTGGAAATCCTAGCGCCGGAAGGAGCTCATTCCTTCAAATTTCTCTACTTCATTCACAAGTGGGAGTAACTGGATGAGAGAAGAAGGATCTTCTCCACTATCATAGTGAAGAGAAAAAAATCTCTTACCTGTATGTGTACCTTTATACAATGAAATTATATATGCATGTATATTTATACATGCACACATGAGAACTATTACATAGCAACATATGCAAATCGGTGTGGCAGACACTAGGTGATCTGACTGAGATGAGAGCATGTGGGTTAAGGAAGAGAAACTGATGTAGTGTAATGAGAAATTCAGGTTTTGTCAAGAGAAGTTTTCAGGTTATGCAGACTTTGGAACAAGGGAGAAAGAAGACTGGGTATTCAGAGCGGAGTTTTCAGGATCAGGAAAAGACAAGAATGTTTAGGGTCTGTAATGGAATAGGAGAAAAACAAATCAGGTAAGAAAAACAAGTGGGGAATTTGTGGAAAAACTTGAATATTAACAGGAGCTGATCGTAGACAATGCTATGGCTTGTAGTCATGGGATATTTTTTAAAGTTTTAAGAAAATGAATATCCCACAGCATCTAATACTCAGAAGAATTAAGAATGCCAATCACTTTTGCAAATAACAAAAATCATTAAAAACAAAAAGACAGATTCATAAAAATTACAATAACTCTCGTGCAAATTCTTCTTTAAAAATTACTTTTTAATTATATCTCCATGAGAATATTCAATGATTTGTTCTCTGACTTTCAGTTTAAACTCTCTTTGGGGGCATATTTGTCCGATATTGTAGCCATATATCTGTAAAGCACTGCATGTATAATACATGGAATCTAAGTCAGGCAATGTGACAACTATATCACTCTTTTTATCACATGACATACAAATATTTCTAATTCCCATTTAAATTCATGGTCATTAACTTACATATTAATCAACCTGCAAGTTTTGATGCTTCACTTTCCATTGTTATGTTATAGTAGGTATATAATAAATAATATAAAATTTAATTTTGGTAAGCCCTTAAAATATCAGATTTGTATCCTTTTAAATCTCAACAAATATTATTATCTCTACAACATTTTCTCCAGCCAGTAATAATAAATCACAATGAAACGAATCTCCAAACAATATCTTTATAACTTATGTTTAATGCTCTTGAACATAAGTAACCCTACACATTAGCCTTATAACAGTTTATTTTCAATTCTCAAATTGTGATTATACTGAGCCTACATTTCAACCTAGAGTACATCAAAAAAATTGCTGAATCCTTAATAGCAATTAAAGATTGATATTACAATTACAATTTCCTACAGAAAAAGTCAGATATATGTGAAAATAAAACTTAATATCCCTACATAATAAAAATAAATTGCAGACATGACACTTTCTTAATTGAAATTCAATCTACTTCCAGGATATATAAACCCATATAAAAATGGAACAGAATAACAGTCTCTATTTTTTTAACATAATCATACAAGATATGTAGAAGGATATTTAGACCTGATTAGTTAAAGTTGCCTCTCTCCAGATAACAAAATTAAGGATATCGTGACTAGCCAACATAAATAACTTCACACAATAAAGCACTACATGAAGAGTTAAAATGTAGGCATCTCTTTTAAAAGGGTCGAATACAGAACTTCCAGGTACCTGCACACACACAAGCGCCTGCTGATCTAGTAGCTCGCTCCCTGAGCTCCTCTGCCAGAGCCAATCCTTGTCGTCACTGAACTGAGAAAGCCAACCAGTCCCATTCATCTAAAAACAGCACCTTCACCTGTAAGTCTCAACGGTGTACGATTTCAACATTGAAACTTAAATGTATATATTCCATCTGAGATAAGAGAGGCAGAGCATCAGTACGTCAGCACTCACTGTCTTACAAACAGAACTGTTTGTAAGACTGCAAACAACCCTATTTCCCAGAATCCCAAGGACCAGGCCAGAGAGGTGACAACATCAACACCATTCCTCCCACCCAAGCCACTCCTCCACACCCCACTCCTAATGTTCACACAAACCATGTGTCCTAGAGCACAATCCCTTCGGGGGTTTTATCAGACCAAAGTCCCTGGTTTCTGGCAAGATGCCAAACTGTTCCTTTATTCTCCTGTTGGGAGGAAACACATTTTTTTGACTCTGCATACATGCTGGAAATCCCACCATGTCAATGGAAACGACCCCCTCCCACCCCAAACTCTCTCTTTCCTAAGTTCAGTTCAAAGTAAATGTTTCCCGATCTTAAATAAACAAAAAGCCTAACAAAATTGAACATATTCGTATGTACACACCTCTGAAAAAATAATTTCACACAAATGCATCTTGGATAGTCTATGCTCCCTTTATCCTTTTATTCTAAAGAGCACGGGTCCTTTATCTTCCTCATTGAATTCATCTCATTCAGTGTGTTTCTCCCTCTTTACTGTGTCATTGTCCATCAATTCTCCCTCAGCAAGAGCTTTTCTACCACTTACCTCCCTATGCCCGTATCACATAGCTCAGCTTCAACATCATTCACATTCGTGTAAGGTATTAGTGCTCATTGCAATGTCTCTCTGTGGCGAGTCACAGTTAATAGGCCTATGCAAAGGCAGCCCTCCACTGATATCATTAAACATTCAGAAATATTTCATAGATCCAATTAACATTTTAGTATAGATAAAATTTGAACAGAGTGCCTACAATTCAAAATTGCCTTTAGGGGAAAGAAGCTGCTTCCTTAAGGGGTTTTCACCTCCTTTGAAGAATCAACTAAAATCAGAAGTAAGTAGAAACACCTAATTTGTCATTTAACATAACAATTTATTTTTGCTCAACTGCAAATTCAAGGTCGGAAACAAGTTTTCTGCTGATGTCCATTAAATTTATGTGCTACCTTTGTTTCAACATTCATTTGTTTTTAGGAATTCAATAATGTGTCAAAAGTAAAATCCAATCAGTTTCAATCAGAATGTAGTCTAACATGCATTTAAATAAACTTATTATGCATGTAAATACATACAGTAACATCATATCTTCATAGCTATATAAATAGGTAACATTGAATAGATGGGTCCAATTCCCATCACAGTTCTAACCTTTTAGAAACTTTTCTGAAAAAAACTCTTTTAGATGGTATCTGTATTCATTAAGTATGCACACATTGTATATCTATCTATATCTTACACTTTGTTTACACATACATATCATTAGAATATTCACATGAATATGTTCATGTTTTTAAGCCAAGATAGTAAATAAATCACATAGAAACTTGAATATTTAGCAACTCTATCTGCAACTGTTGGGTATAATCAGGCATGCTATTTAAAAACGGTATGATATAGTTCAGCCTTTCCAAAGAAAATATGTTTGTATGAGTGTCTCCATAAAACTCAATGACGTTTTAGATGACTTCATACAGAAAATTTTTCCATATTCAAAAAGTAATATGTAAAACCACCTGACCAATGTTTAAATAAAAGGAGGTTCTTATTACTGCACCCTGACAAGATTCTAATTCTCTTTTTGTCTATCACTGTAAATATGATAAACTAATTGCAGTTATTCCCAAAGATAATACAATCTTCAGGTTGAGATCCTGGTTATATGTTACCATAAATAAAAGAGTAGTGTCAGAAAATTAACCATTATCCACAATGTTTTGATAAGCTAAAATATATTTTAAATTTTCCTGTTACTTCATAAATATGGTAATCATTATAACCATTCCCTCTACTTTTCAATTGATGATTTACTTTTTGATGGGGTTATTCAGTAGCTAAAACCAGTAATGAAGGAAAGCCAACGAGTTTAATGTTTCTGGGTTAAACACACTACAAAAGTATTCATTCTCAGTAAGTATTACCTTGGTCTGATTTTTCATAGAAGAGTGAAGATCTCTTGCCAGGTAACACCATTTCTTTGGGTTCTGTGGGCAAAGAGAAAAGAGATTAATATAAACAACCTTTCTTTTTACTCTTTAAGTGCTTCCTAAGGAAGATTCATTAGTAATAAAGGTCAGAGAAGAAAATCATTTAACAAAATATTCAGCGGCTGCCTGGGGAACCACTTGCTTAAATGCCACATAACTTCCCCAAAAGTCCGTCCTGTCGCCCCACAGCCATGGCCGAGAAGCTGGGTGGCTGGGGCAGGCACTCCGCCCAGTTCTCTTTGCTTCTCTTCCTTTCTCGCGTGGGAACGAGACTCACACTTGAACAAGGACAAGCATGGGCTTCTATCATTTGAAAAGATAAGATGTAAGGAGTGTTGAGACAGAGCGTTTACTGAGAATACAATGGTCTGAAATGGAATTTTCAATTATCTAAACCTACTTTCCTCTCTCCCCCAGTGAGTATGGGTTTGAAAATATTCGTGAAAATTTGATTGTTTTACTATTCTGTTTTTCCACAAAAATGATAAAATGACGTATTGTGAGATGACTCTGTAAATACGTGCAGGTTACCCTCCTCATGAGATACAATTTTAGAGTTTTTCCATGCTGCGATGAGGAGAAAAGTACTTTATAGAAGTCAAAAGTTATGAAAATATATCTTATTCCCTCCCTTCGCATTTAACCATCTTGAGGAGTATCCCATAAAAGATTTTATTGCATCATTATCTGAATGTGCAGATTGGAGGAAAAGAAATTCAAGACTGAGCAACAGCTTTCCAGAAAGGACTGTCACGAAATTTAAATTCACCCTTTATGAAAGTTATTTAAGAAATGTTAACAGTTAAAAGCAACATTGATTAATTGGCTATAACAGTCATTATAAGAATAGTCATATAAATGCAATCGCCATGTTTCACTAGCTGTGTGAACTTGAGCAAGTAAATTAAATTCTGTAAGCCTTCATTTTTCATCTGTAATATCGGAATGATAATTATTTCTACTCCATAGAGCCGATAGGATAAATAAATGAGATAAATACATATAAAGGACATAGAACTAATGAATATTAGCTAATATAATTATCAACATCATTATTACACCTCTTTATCATCATTCTCCTTTATAAAAAATGCATCATCTGTATGTTGCCTTGTGTGTTTACCACCCAAAGTCAAATCTTCCGTCACCATCGATTTGACCCCTTGTCCCTGTACTAGCTCCTCCCCACTTGAAGCCTATATAATTTTATTAACCAATATCACCCCAGTAAATTTCATACTGGACATTACCTAATTTGCCTATTGACCAAGCTGACTCTTACGACAAAGGAAATAAGGGTCTTTGGGCAAGTGAGGAGAAGAAACTGAGTGGTTGGAGGTCAGTAAGCTGCCCACCAGTTCCTGCAGTGGCTCCCATGCCTCTTGCTGAGGATTTTGGTTCAAAGAAGCCCTCCAGGGAACTGTGATCTCCTTCAAGAATCACCTAAAGCAACTGGCCCTTTTCTGCTTTTGTGAACACTCAATACAATTCAGAAAACACTGCAAGCTACTGTCTATAATAACAGACTTTAGAGAAAATGTAATAAACAAAAATGACTCAAGAGAAACAGTCCAGGGGAGGAAACATCTGTAGACAATTATGTCAAGGAATTGGTGAAAATAGCATCATTAAACAGCGTACAACGTGTCAAAGCAACAGAAAGTATTGAAAGAATATTATGCAGTCAGGAAAGGGGGGGTCAAAAATAATCTTTAAAAAATTCATAAGGACAGCAGAACCGGTGCGCACAGGTTTGACAATCAGTCCTGTTTGGTCTAAAAAAATTCACTAGGGGAGGACTTTGACAGACTAAATCTGACAGGCAGGTAAGGAGGGATATATCTTTCCAAGAAGCTGGGACAGTGCATTTGAAGAACTGAAGTGTACAAAAACCTGGAGACCAGGTGTGCCACAGTGCGGACCATGGTACCACTGTGCTTCTTCGCAACCTCCCATTAAAACCGTCATCTTATGTTAAAGGAGAGAAACACTGATAGCACCATTGGGAGGAAACGGGACAAAATAAAAAGAGGCCTCTCCAGTAGTTGCATCACTCATAGGGATGATTGAGAAACATTGCTTGAGACTCAAAACTCATGCTGTATAATTTGAAACAGTGTGACATACATGACTAGAAATAAACTAGGAAGGGAGTTTGGTTCACACCAACAACAGCCCCTAACTCCAGCATTCGGACATCAAGCAGGATCACGTCTGCTGTGGGTTCAGTTGTGTCCCTGTGAACATTGTCGTATTTGGAAATAGTCTTTCCAGGTGTCATTAAAAGGTAAGTTAAGATGACATTCCACAGGGAAGGGTAGACTCTTAATCCAATATGATGTGTGTTCCTACAAGGTGAGACACAAATATAAACACACACAGAAGAGCATCATGTGAAGACAAAGACACAGAGGGAGATCATGTGACTAGGGAGGCAGAGATCAGAGCGATGCATCACCAGCCACGGAGTGCGGCAACACCAGAAGCTAAGGGGAAGTCAATGGGATAGATTATCTGCTAGAGTTTTCAGAGAGAACATGGCCCTGTTGACATCTTTATTTTACACTTGTAGCCTCCAGAACAGTGACAGAATAAATGCTTCTTGTTCTAAGCCATCCAGTTTGTGGTAATTTGTTACGGCAGCTCCAGGAAATTAATGCAGCATCTTTTGAGTCAATAAGAACTAGACCTTTATCTATATGCCCTGATCAGTTGGAGCTTTAAAAAAAATCTTATAGTTACATTAAGTTACCAAACATATTCCCAATTAGAAGTTAGAATGCCCAGCTACATATAAAAAAGGATTTAAAGTTTAAATTGCCCTCCCTCCATAGCTGGGCTCTGCTGCAATTGGAAACCAGGAGCCAGTGAAGAGCGCCCCCATATTCTACCCCAAGTCTTCTCCAACCAGTTAACCCTGGTTCCAAAGCCCCGGGAACACAGGAGTGGAGTGAAAGAGGGACGGTAGGAAAAGAAGAGGTAAATGGAGAAGGAACGTTTCTTCTGGTCACTGAGCTAAGAGAAGCAGTACATATTTAAAGCCATTGCACAACCAGCATTTGCTCTCCCTTCTCCAATCGCTGGGGACCTTCAGTCTGTCCTACCCTTCATATAAGTTCTCACTTGCAGGGTCTGCAGCTGTTCCACAGGAAACTCTAAAATACCCGGGGAAAAGAGGTGACTCCCCATACAGCATCTCCACCTTGCTCTGCCACCAACTGCCCACTAGCTCATCTCTTGGTCTTTAGATTCATCAGAAACAAGTCTAGTGTTTTAGACAACCACCCCAAAACTTCACGAGACACACATTACAATCTCGCCAAAGTCTCCTTGAAGTACCTCTTTCTAGCAATGAGAGGGCGAAACAGGCAAACACCCCAACTACCTCCTTGTGAATATTCCTAGTGGACCCTCAGCTCACCTCCAAAAATCTGTCTTTAGTTCCCAAATATCCTACCCCTGATGGAGTATGAATGTAAAAGTTATCAAGCTCCTATTAGGGGATTTCTACAAGGTGATCTATTTCATAAATCACTTTAGTATCTAATAGCTCTTCCCTTATGAGGTCAAAATTTTCCAATTTTATAACCTGTAATATTAGTTTTTACAATTTGAGCTTTACAGACCCATGGGAGAAGCAGCTGAGAATTATATCTAATGGATATACTATTTTTTTTAAGCTTCCTGAGCATTCCATGAATTTTATATTGTTCTTCAATGTAATCTGTCCTGTTGAGTCAGGCAGAGCGCTAATGGCTCCCATGCTGTCTTTCCCAGTTCCATTCTCCTTGCCTATTCCTCCTGGTTGCGGTTCAATTCTTTTCAACATCCTCCAAATTTACCACCCTGTCAAAACTTTAACGTCAACTTCTGCACAAAGTGATCCCTAGGTTCTCTGGACTCTGTTGATTTATGATTCTCTGACCTTGTATAGCAATTATAGTTAATGCCTATAATTTATATTGCCTTCTTCGGTAGCCTTATGCTGTCATGTCTCCCCAACTATATTTTAAGTTCCTCAAGGACAGCTATTGTATCTTTTGCCTCTCACCTATCACCTACCCCTTCAGTACTTAATTCAATATTTAGCACTTAGGAAGGAGGTTCCTAAAATGTACACACCCACTTGCTGTATTAAATACCTAGTAACAAAGATAAGATAGAGCTAACTCATGTGGCATAAATATTTTACCAGGTCCTATGATAGAAATTGCATAAAAAGTCCTTATTGTCACATTTGAACAAACAACTATGCCAGATAGGAAAAAGGCAACAAAGAAATATGAGAGGTACAGACCATCCTAAAACTAGGATGCTAATATTTGGATAAATATCTATATAGAAAGTTTCTGCATTTCTCTGTGTTTGACCTTGCCTTTCTGCTGGAGGTAGCTTTTTCCTCAATGAGAAGATAAATAAAATAAGAACAGAGGAGTCTGGAATTTGACATCCAGCAAGAATTCTTGGATCCATAGTAAGACAATGGTTTTGAATATCTGGCTTTCCTTAGGGAGAAAGGGACTTTTAGAACCACAAGCTTAGTTGCCATAACATAGTAGAAGTCAGACCTGGAGAACTAGGTCATGAGGTTTCGTGATTCTAAGAGTGGAGAAAGCATAGGGTATGATGTAAAAGATTTGAAAAACTACCTTGGGCTTAAAAGTTGCCTGGATAAGAAGACAGACAGAGGAGGAAGTGGGCAAATATCAAGTCCTCATTTCCCTTAAGTTCAACCCCCAGATGAATATGGGAACAGAAGCATTAGGATTAGTAGCCCACTTTTCCCAGCATAGACTGAAGAGAAATTAAGACTCTCTGAGAAAATATTACTGTTCCCCAAAATGAGATCACATGAGGCCCAATGAATGTCCCAACAGTTACAATGTCATAAGGGGAAGAACAGAAGAAAGGGGAAAAAATTCTAATGCCTACCCCCTTACCCAAAAGTTGTCTGAGTCATCCATCCCTGACAAAAAGGAGCTAAAGTTTATCTCGTC